AAAAGAGAGGAAAATAAAGAGAAAAAGGAGAGAGAATATAAAGAGAAAAACTTTTGGGATTTTTGTGAAATCTGACAATAATGATTTTTAGAGTGAAAAATCTTAAGGTTTTGAAGTATAAATACTCCCCTTTTAAAACAAAAACTCATAATTACAAAACTGCCAAAACTAAATCCTACTTCTCCTTAACTCCTTTCCTTTGGGGCCAACTTGTTGGGCTCTTAAGTGTCCTTAATTTCTCAACAAGTTGATCCAACGATTTAAATAAAGATGACGTAATTCAAAATAGTTTTATTGCCTCAATTAATGACTCATATTATTTTATACACACTTACATAATATTTAAATGATTAATTTCTTTTAAAATGAAATGAATCATTTTTATTTATAAAAAATAAATAAAATAAATAATTTATATATATAAAAATACGGAGTATTACAAGTTTCGTGCTTTGAAATGGTGGTTTTTGGGGTAAGAGGTGGTGGTTTTAGGGTTGGAGGTGGTTTTGGCATGGGGGAGGCGATTTCAAGTAGGTTGTGTTGGTTTTGGGGATGAAAAGCGGTGGTTTCGGGGTGTTTTGATGTGAGTCAACGGTGGAAATCCGACAAAGGTAGTATTTCGCAACATTTTACCTTTTTATTAGGTAGTTTCTTACAACATTTTACCTTTTTATTAGGTAGTTTCTTACAACATTTTACCTTTTATTAGGTAGTTTCTTACAACATTAATTTTCTTATTAGGTAGTTTCTCACAATTTTTAATCTGGATTTTATTAGATAGTTTCTGACAACCTAAAATTTATTACACATTTATATTTCTAGAACCTGATTTTTTTTTAACTGTTCCTTCGCTAAACTTAAGTAGCTCTACAAAGGTTTTGAACATTGCTCAACTACACAACATCCAATACATTTATCGCATGAGAAGCTTTTGCGTGAAACCGGACTCACCGTGAGTCCAATATATCTAACAATAATATTCTAATATCTGACAATGATATTCTAATATATGACATGAATAATCTAATATCAGACAATAATATTCTAATATATGACATTAATAATCTAATATCTGACATTAATAATATAATAATCTAATGTCAGATATTAGATTATTAATGTCAAAGATTAGATTATTAATGTCAGATATTAGAATATTAATGTCATATATTAGAATATTATTGTCAGATCTTAGATTATTATTGTTAGATATATTAGACTCACCCAATTTTATCGTTATCGTACATATGCAAATAATTAGAATAAAATAAATATTACACAAACAGGCATAGGGCATATTAAGGCCACTAGCAGTAATTTTTTTTTCAAAGGGCTAGCACTAAAAAACAAGTCTAATTAGAATATTACTCCGTACAAAAGTAGAATTAATATTTATTACTCTCTGTTTCGAAATAATAGACGCACTCCCCTTCATTATGAATGTATTTTTTGTTATTTTTTTTACGAACATTATGAATGTAACTTAGGGTATTGTCATTTGTTTTGAACCTATAATTTTGTTTCGACCATTTTTATTCTGACGCAAATTCTTATGCTTACCTTTTAAAAAGTTTGAAATGACTCTTATGAATATTGTTTGGATAAATATATCCTCTAATATGTTTATATTATTTACTTATTTACTCTCACTAATCCTCTAATATGTTTATATATTTACTTATTTACTCTCACTAATGTTAATTGCCTCGTTTCCCTACCTTTACAAAAGTTTGAAATAAGTTTTGTGAATAATATATGTTAGGAAAATTATACCCTCTAAAAATATTTATTTACTTATTTGTCTTAATTAATGCTAATTGCCTCTTTTTAAACCCTTAATATGGTGTACAAACATTTATACTCCTAAAAATATTTGTCTATATATTTTCCCTAATTAATATTGCTAACATGCAACAACTAAATTCGTGGCATAAGGTTGAACAGAAATAAAAAAAACTCCCCAAATATGGTTAGCTATGGTGTGCGTATCGCGCATGTTATCTGCTCTAGTAGGAAAAAAAATGAGATAAACACAAATTGAATATAACAAAGAATCAATGGATACATACCAAGGCTATGGATTTTCACCTATAATATAATTTTCTTAAAATCTAGTTTAATTATTTCAAAAACATTGTCAAGTGGAGCCTTTTCTCTCTTCTAAACCCTAGCATCCATTGTTGATTTTGAAAGGGTTTTCATCGGTAGAAAGCCCCAATCTTAGTTTCTTTTACGTTTTTTTTTTTGGGTTATAATAATGTCTCCCTCGAAAGACAAGGTTTTTTTGATTTCCTTTGAAAGACAAGGTTTTCCGAGCTCTTTCGAAAGACAAAGTTTTATTTGTGCTTAATATGGTCTCTTGTTGTGCGGGACTACGATTGATTATCGTTCGGATTCGGGTTCAAAATCAGCACGAATGTTCTTTCTCACAAAATTATGAAGCGGCGACGGATCCACTCAAAAAGTTGTATGAGACAACGAATCAAGAATGTGCCGAAGTGTTATATCTATGTATTTGGATTCTTAGCCCTTTTCCAATCAATTCTTGTTTGATTTTGTTAAATCTGTTTTCATTGTCGTTAATTATCAATTGTAGATGTCGTATGACTTTTATTAATGAAATATAATGTTCTTTAGGACTTCTTTAAACAAAAAACAAAAAAACATTGTCAAGTGAGATATTGTTGGATGCGGATTAATATGCACTTCTAATCACCTTTATATTGCAACATAGGAGGGGCCATGCATTATAAGATGAGGAGAGTGGTAGAATAAAATAAAGATATAGACTCATATGATGAGAACATAGTGTCATCGCTGACCCCAGGGCAGCCGAGGCGGTCGCCTAGGGCCCCAAATCAAAATCTCTGCTTAGTTATAGACAAATAAACAAACTAGCTCAATGATCATAGCAAGTTGTTTTAGTGGAATTTACTTAGCATGCGTGTTTTGGGGTTCGAGACTTATCATTCATGTTTTTGTTTCATTGTTCTTTTCTACTTCTTTCTTTAGTTTAAATCTAATCTTCTTTTTATTTTAACCATAAGCCTTTTTTTCTTTATTTATTTTTTTTTGGAAATTTTATAAGAACATATAATTTTCTTTAATTTTACTTGTTTTCTTTTTGTATTTGTTTCAATTTTCCTCCTCATTTTTCCCCTCATTTTTTGAGTTTCCTTTTTATAGTCGCCTTCCAAATTTCTTATTTACTACTCTCCCATCCCATAATATTGTACAAAAACAATTTGAGGCACTTAAAAAAACAAAGGAAATATTATAAAAGTATTTAAAATAAAACTAAAACGTTTACGACATTTTAAAACACCAAAAATAAAATACATGCAGTATAATCTGAGACGAAGAGGGTATAACATTTCTAATAAATCTTATAAAAAAAAATAATAATAACCCCATTCATATTGAGTATATCCAAGGTACATACTCCCATCTGTATGACTTTTTTTTTTCCGTATATTTGGACGGTAGAGTATTTGCACTTTAAGTTAATACTATTTTTAAGTATAGTTTTTATGAAAATGAATATCTATATATATATTTTTTGAATGTACTATATCGCGCGAATACCCAAATTTATAGGGGCCCCTAATTATTAGTTTGCCCTTAGGCCCCTAAAAACTCAGAAATGGCCATGTGAGTACAGTGGTAGAGTCAAACTGTGAAATAAAGGTAAGGGCTTCAAACTCATGTAATGTGGAGAAAGGTAGTGAAAGCACTAAATAGTATAATGTAAGCATTATCATGGTATCACCAATCACCATATAGGTAATAACGAACATTAGTAAATTTGGGTTTGGATAATCAACAGAATTTACCTATATTCTCTCTATCCTTTATTTTTTGCCCCATATATATATATATATATATATATATATATATATATATATGACTTTTTACGGTCTCTAAGACGTATCTCCAAACGTATATATCCCCATTTCAATCCGCGTAAAAATTATAAAAAATTGATATTAATAAAATATATAATGAGACGATTTGAACAAGATCCCACTTGAATATAGTATCATTTACAGATAAACGAGAATTCATAGTCAAAGTTTTAAAAGTTTGACCTAATATATTTGCAATGAGACAAAAAAAATAAGGGACGGAGAGAGTATATACTTTATTTTTGTAGGGAATTTACCTATATGTTTTTTTAACATAAAATAAAAGATTTATATTAAAAGCTAAGGCTAATGCCATAGTTTAAATACAAGTAGCATCACAAATTTTACAGCTCCAAAATAGATGCTAATGTTGGAATAAAGAAAGGGAATTAAAGGGGTTAGGATCGGTCGTCTGATCGGGCGAAGCTCGCCCGTCTGGGCGCGAGAAGGCATTTGGAAATGCTAAGTGTTCGCCCGACCGGGCGCGAGAGCAACCCTGTTTTTGGCTGGATGCCCGACCGAGCTCGAGCTTATTGGATAGACTCCAACAACTCTTCTCGGATTCTCCTTCTTGTTCTCTTGGTTGATTCTTTGTAACCCCCCATTTAAGAGGTTGATTATGGTGATTAAATCACTATAATAATTCTGATTTTATTTCCCCATTGATGGAAAATATTCTTCTTTGATCTTCCATCTTCCTCCATCTATCATTATAAATTGAAGGATGGTTTTCTGATTTCAACACACTTGAACATAACCTTCAAACACAAGCTTAAACACATACTCTATATTGGGCATAAGTTATTTGGCTCCAACCTTCCACCCAAAAGTGCCTTTGTGTGGAAGTAGTGAGTTAGCCTTAGGGAACGTGCCGGCAAATACAATTGTGTACCCCGATTGCGCCGGAATTTCGTTTTCAAGTCAGTGAATTTGCTTCACGGCACACCGTACTCTTTCTATTGTCATAAGATCAACTTTTCGATCTTATTGTTTACTTCTTATATTAGCCTTGAAATACTTCTTATATTACAACAGCTAAGCAAAAAGCTGAGCCCCAAAATAAAGATCCATACAAGCAGGTGAAAGATACACCAACTAGTGATTATCAGCAGCAGCTCGAACCCCCTCCAAGTCAGCCTCGTAGATGTTCCTGACATACTCAGGCACCATGAAATGGGTCTTATACCCTACTGCCATATCTTTGCCCAACACAGCTAGACGATGTGCAAGCTCATTCCTTTCCCTAAGAATATGAGTTAAGACAACCACCTCGAACTTCTTTGAAACAGCAGCAACATATCACTGCCGCAGCCAATTCATGATGAGGGTTAGGACCAGACGTTAACAACATCGTCCTCAAGGAATTTGCATCCGTTTCTATCTCAACCTTCTTCAATTTCATGTCCTCAGCAATTGACAACCCATCATTCAAGGCATAGAGCTCAGCAGCCAGGGGAGAGACAGCCTCATATTTGCATGAAAAACCAACATACCAAGTTCCATCAGAGCGCCTGATAACTCCACCTCTAGAAGAAACAGCTGAATTCATCCAAGCTCTATCAGTGTTTATCTTGTATTACCCTTCCTTGGGAGCTTTCCATTTAGTATCCGAAATTTGAACAGCTGTAGAAGAGCTGCCCTGGTAAATAATGATAAAGGAGAAATAGTCTTTTGCTCGAAAATCACAAGGTTTCTTCTTAACCACAAGTGCCATAAAGCTGTGACAAATATTGTCTTCCAAATATTGTCTTCCATTTCTTGCATAAGCTCATGTTATAGTTTATCCATTTTTTCCAATTTGCATTCTTAAACATATGGAAATTGAAATTTGTGGGTGTAAAAACTCGAGCAAAAATATCATTCCATAGTATGGATGAAGAAATTTGTGGGAATTTACCTATATGGCTATATACTTTGTACTTCGTATAACTCTAAAATGTGGCACTTACAGATGACTTAAATTATATATTTACTTATTTCCTACCAATCTACCATCTCTATGTTATTGGGTTTGTCTTTCAACTGGTTTGGTATGAATTCTGGAAATAGGAAGTAGACGAATAAGGAAAGAAAAGGACGTGAGTACTCCGTAAATTTTAAATTATTTTGTTTCAGTTAATTAAAGGGACATTTAGTTCATAAAGTGGTATGAGGTTAGAATTCAGAATGAAATTAGGGTGGCATGGGGTTGAAACTTGATTCATACTTTGTGTTTGATCTTTATTAGGGAATACTCCCTCCGTTTCATAATGATGTTCCTATTACGTAAATCGATGTAAATTTTTACCCATCTTTGACCGCAAATATCTTTAGTATCACATTAGCAAAAATTATTAAAGTTAGATATTAATAATGTGCTCATCAAATCGAATTAAACTAGATCCCACATGACTATATTTGTTCTTATAGATTGAGAGAAATTAAGAGTAGCCCCTTAGTATGAAGAATGTTAAATTTGATGGGAATTTATACTAATATATTAAAATGCGTTCCTTAAAACGTTGATGTGCCACATGGTTCCTTTTTTTTTAAATTGTGCCACGTCACCTTCCAAACATCTCATGATGCCACATCATCACTCAAACAAACCATTACGCCACGTCACCCAAGTTCATGAAGCCACATCATCAACATTACTCCATATAAAAACATAAGGATAAGGAGATTCAAACCCGCAACCTCTTATAACAAAGATAAATATTTAACCATCTAATCCAATTATCAACTATGTTATTAATATGTAAAACAATTTATATAAATGCAAACCACAGGGTTCAACTAAACAAAATATACTCAAAAAATAACTCAATTTTGGTTTGACAACGACAATTTTACTTTTGAAAAGCCTTTAAAAAAAATTATCAATTGCACTTCTACAACAGTAGCAACCAACCTGGGGTAACGCCCGGGCTACTCACTAGTTTAAAATGGTAAATACAGCAGCGTTTAGATTGCTAGAATTTTTCTTAATTTTTTAATTAATTTCTCCCTTTCTTAAGGTATGAATTAAATGTTACACATTATAATACATTAATAAGAAAAATCTACCCTAAAGTGTTCAAAAGACAACCTAGTATATGGGATTGTTTGGCAATCGGCGGTTGGCTGTTGGATTTTTTACTTGGCTTGTTTGACTAGCTGAAAATATTAACTGTATGAATTGGCTTCTTAAGTTAGTCGTTTAAGCCGACTGTTTACAAAAGTGTTTGGTAAAATTATATATTGTAATTAGGTGTTTATTTGTGATAAAGTGAGCCAACAAGCCAAAAAAAAAGCCAACTACCAAATATATTTTTTGGCTGTTTGACCAAACTAAAAGGCCAAAAACCAAAAGTTAGGCAAAAAGTCAATTGCCAAACACCCCCTATATGTCATGTTCAAGTGAATGGTAGACTTTTTTCTTTTGTTTTTCTAGGGAAGTGTAATGTATCATAGACTAATAATACTCCTTCTGTGCTATTTAGTTCTTCTCACTTCAACTTTTTTTGTATGTAAACATAATTTCAAATGAAAAAAATAAAAATATCGGAGAAATCAATCAATATATAAAACAGACATCGGGAATGATACATGTCATTTCCTAGTACTTTTCTGTGTAGCTGGCCACACCGTGTGGCCGGGGTTACTTATAAGGGTTACTTATTCAGGGGTTACTCAGTCAGCCAAGGGTTACTTATTCTGTGGTTACTCAGATCAGTCGGTTAGCGCGTTTTTGTCGTACTTATTTAGGGGTTACTAAGTTGGTTAGGGGTTACTTATTCTAAATTTACTCAGTCAGTTAGCGTGTTTTCTATGTGAGAGTAACTCATCATCGACCGAGTAACCCCTAAATAAGTAACCCCCGAATAAGTAACCCCGACCACACGGTGTGGCCAGCCACATATAAAATTTTTTGGTCATTTCCTGGTGCTATTTTTTCCCTCCAAAACTCCCCATTTCTCCTTTATATTTTTTTAAATTTTTTTTTTTGCCAATTCGATCAACTACTTACTATAAAATATATACAAAATATTCACTAAATCATATAATTGTGATAATTTTGATTCATATATTTTCCATATCCGTATTAAAATATTTTCAATATCTATTACTTTGTATATTATAAATTTTAGGTTTTATGTCATATCTTTTAATAGCACAAATATCATATTTTATGTCTTCAAATTATCAATATATATTGAATAAGGTAATTTCGTAAATTAAAAAAAATGAATCTATTAAATAATAGATTCATACTACACAAATTATTATCATTATTATGTCATTTTGTTATTTCAACAATATCTAGAAATTTGAAAATGTTATTCCTATTAGGAAAATATTCTTGCTAATAGCATATTTATTTAAGATAAACATTATTCTATTTTAAAATTTCAGTTATTTATGTATTATTTATTGTTTTCCACTATAATAAAGTGCTGGGAATTTTGCAAAATAACACCACAAATTTGTCACAAATTATAACACCACAAAAAAACTCCAAAAATTGATTTTACCACCACTTAACTAATTCAATTATTGGATGGAATCCGTTAGTGGGACTCATTATGACAAGTGTTAGTATTACATTGGTTAAAAAAAATATCCTAAACCCTAACCCAGCCCCAGCCCCAGCGCCACCACCAGCAACACTCCTACTCCCGTCGCTGGTAACCCAACCCAGCCGCCGGCACCCCTACCCCACCTTGACTGCCAAAATCAGCCCGACCACCAACCCCTAAACTAGCGACTCCACCATTTCCCCTTTCCCCCCTCCTCAAAATTACCCTAACCGCTTCAGCCCACCGCGAAAACCACCCCTATTTTCCAAACCCTTAAAATGGACATTGAAAGCAGTGGCCGAAATTGACCAATCGAGGGCTGCCATGGTCGACTTCGGCCGTTTTGAGGGTGAAAGATAAGGGAAGGGTGGTTTTCAGGGTGGGTCAAATGGGTTTAGGTTGCCGAATTTTTGGTACTAGCTGGGGTTGCGGCGTCTCAAGTTGGGCTAGGGTGATGCGTCATGCTGCTAGTCGGCTTGGGTGGGTTTCACAAGTGCTGGTGGTTGAGGTAGCATGGGGATGGGGGCTGCCAACGGTGGGGGTCCAAGGTTGCCGGTGGTGGCGCTGGGGCTGGGTTAGGGTTAGAATATTTTTTTTTTAAAACCAATGCAATACTGATATGTGTACGTGGTGGGTCCCACTAATGGGTTTCATCCAAGAATCTGTTAAGTGGTGGTACAATGAAAATCAATTTTTGGGGTTCTCTTTGTGGTATTATAATCCAATTTATGACGATTTTGTGGTGTTATTTTGCAAAAAATAAAATAAAATCCTAAAGTGCTTATAAAATGAAAATCTTAGGGGGGTTTTTTATTTTTTATTTTTTATTTTTTTTATGCTATAATTGATTTCTTGCCCAATTCTAATATGAAGAGTATAAGAAAGCAAAGAGAATAATATAACAATATAGCTTAACATTATAAACATTTTATCTATATATGCATGTAATCATGTAAGACAATTTGATTAATTAATATTTCATCCTTTTTTTTTAAAATTTGTATCTCTAATATTTTCTGTAATACCTCGTATTTTTAATGTATTTTATAAACTACTTATTTATTTATAATACATATTTTGGGCGAAATTATTTTAATTATGGGATTTAAATAAATTAAGTTCTATTTTTGGTCAAAGATTGCAAAATGATTTGACTTGATTGAAGTATCATATGTTATATATATTTACATACTCCACAAAAAGATAGCCCATGTCCATGTAATTAACCCAATAATCTTACTTATATACTTGGGCCTCATACTTCATCAATCATGCCCATCATTCTTATAAGCCCAAAATTTACTCTAATTCACTCCACATTATAAATACTCTCTCAATTCCCAAAATTTTGCCACCCAAAAGATCAAATGGTCAAGGAAAACTATTTTCCTTTTTCTTTCTTTTCTTATAGTTCTTTCCCCTTGTTTTCACATGGAGTTCTCACAAGGAGAACTTGATGTTGTCGTTGCTGCCTCATCGGACCCCACCACCGCCGTTGCTTTCGGCCACTGGCGTCGCCGCCGCTCAGCCAGCGTGGCTAACCCACACGGTCCTTCTTCCCTTCTCTCCTCCTCTTTATTTTATATAGTTTATATGTATATTTATATGTACTCCCTTCGTTCCTGAAAGTTCGACTCACTTTCATTTGCGCGATCTCCAATGAACATCTTTGACCGTGAATATCCTTGGGTATGTATGAGTAAAAATTACAAAAAGTTGATATTTGAAAATTTAATAATAAGGTGAATCTAATAACATCGCACATGCTAATATATTTCTATTGTATAAGTCATAAAAAATATGGTCAAACTTATGTTATTTTGACTACATGAATAGTAAGTGAGTCGAACTTTCAGAAATGGAGGTAGTATATAGTATTGATTTTGGTTTAACTATTTGAAAGATGTTTAATTAGTATCAAAAATCATGTTTTAATGGTTTAAAAGTACTCGTATAATTTAAGATTATTGGATTAGGTTCAATTTTTAGATTTAATAAATTATAAAGTTAGGGTTTTAAGCTATTTAAAAACATGATTTTAAGGGTTCTTATACAAATTGATTTGGGGCTTTTGTATACCTAATGATTTTATTGATTAATTTAGGCATAAAAGTATGTTTTAATAAGGTTTTAAGGGGTTTTTAATCAAGGAATATTGCTGGAATTTTATTTAAAGTAGTAGTATTGTGATTTTAATCAGTGGCAGATCTATTC